TTTTGGTTAGCTTTATTACAGATGGGCTCGGGATGCTATTTTTTAGAATGTTAATATGCCCTGAATATTTCAGTATATTCAAATTAGCAACTGTAAGAAGACAAAATCTTACTGATGAATTAAGGAAAAATTAGACACGTTAGCACCTTAACACATCAAAATTCTAATTTAATTACCAAAATACCTGTGAGTCTTGGGGCGCGCTCAGTTTATCTGGAATCCATTCAAGATGGCTATGGGGTCACTCCTGTGAAACTAAAGATGTCGCCAACCCCTGACTGACCCAGCTGCACACACCACTGACACCAAGCTGAGCCCTACTCCAATTTGACTGGGGGAGCGCGGTTCATGCACAATGGTGCTACGTGGTGTATTCCATTCTGGCCAGTCTGTGTAAATAAAATTCAGGTCTTTCGACGCCACAAATAATGAGTGCAAGGGAAAATGAAGGAGGAACAAACAAATAATAAAAAGAGCTTTTTTTCTTTACAAGGCAGTAGCAAGTACCCTATCGAATAGCACACGCATGCCTAGTCTCTTAAAGAAACATTCCTAAAGCAAAATACTTCAATCATATTAAAAGGGTGGTTTAAAACGTAATCTGGGAAAGAGCCTGGTGATGTGCTATCCACTTTGCTGTACTCTGCTCAACTCACATCCATTTTTAAATCGTCTCTAATCAAGATCCAATACTTAATGGCCGGGGCTCAGGGAAATGCCCGCGTAGTGTGTATAATTAAGGCCTGTCTAAAGTTCCTTCTGTGACTTGCTCGTTAAGTCGGCGCAGAGGGGGTTGGGGGGTCCCGGGGCCCCGTTCTTTGTTACACAGTGGACACCTCTGGAAGGCCTGGCCCCGGCCACCGGCACATCTGGGCTTTAGAAACAATCCAGAAGACTACTTCGGCCTCCTACTTATCTCGGAGGAAACTGCTCCGGTCCCATTAGCAGGTCACAAACCAACACACGGCGCCCCTCGCCGAGATGCCTGACCTAGGCGCCCACCGGCCTCCCCCACCCCAAACCTGCCCCTCTCGGGGCGTAGGACCCGACTCAGGTGTGAAGACTTATGTAACCGTCCTCGGGGACCACGCCTTTCCCACCACCCAGCCTCCAGCAGAACAAAGTGAAGTTTAAAATAGAAACCAATTACCTGGCCTCCGCAGTGCCTCGGCCCCAGAGCCCGGCCGCGCC